TTTTTCAATTCTTTGAGATTCTTTGTAAGTTCATACTTTTTTATTAATGACAATTAATTATATTCTTCCCAATTCCGTTGATTCTTCAATTATGAATTGCGAGTAGTTTTAATTAGGGATTTGGGGTTGATGAAGGGGTTTATCATGATGTATGGCTAGTTTCTTGATGGTTTGATTACATGAATGCCATTCAATTTGTGTTTGAATAATTTAATTGTTATCTTTTGTAATCTGGAACCGCGGCTAGAATTACAATTGCACATAGAATAAATTAAGAGAGATCTAGTTTATTCTAGGACACATTCACACACACTTAATCGTTCGCTAAGAGATTAGTAGTGATTAAGGGGCTGTAAGCTCGTTCGTCTTGGCAATAATTTAGGATCATGTCGCATTAGAGATCAGCCTGGTCCCCTAAATTATTGTACTCTACGCCGCGAGAGCGGTAAGAACTTAGTATTGATTAGCTAGGCTCAATTAAATTAAATTCATGTAATTAAGTCTGATCTGCCAGAAATCTGATTACCACGGAATCAATCCATGTTCCCTTCGTCGTTAATTAAGAACCCAAATCTTTAGTTTTATTCACTCATTCGCATTAGTTTAATTTCAATTCAACCAATCAATCTCGCACGACGCATTTATTTAATTTTATTTCTTTTTAATCGCTGAATTTAGTTAATCTTTAATTCCCTTTTGTCCATCCCTGTGGAGACGATACTCGTACTTTCACCACTATTCTACAATCTTTTGAATTGCGAGAAAACTCACATCACCATACATTTTGCAATGGAAACAAAAATTGGGGAAAGTTTAATAAACCATCTTTTGGCTGACTACTTTACGGGAAGGTAATCGTATAGGAAATGATAGCGGAGGTGGTTGAGAGACATCAACATCAATTAAAACCCTAGCAAAATGGTGATTGCTCCTATCTTGTGTGATTTTATCCGTAGAAATCGATACCCTATCAAAAATGCAACTTCACTCATGACCTCCTCATTCCAAAGTTTCATATGTAAATTAGGAAATTTAACTCAAATGGGGACTTTGAGAAATTCCTCATCATCAAAAGAAAAATTTCCGAGAGTGCTTTCAACCACTACTTAACGCCTCATTTTAATATAGTAATCTGATTCATTTAATTGTAAGGTGACCATAATGTTGGAATAAATCCATGAATACTTTAATCTTCATATTGAAATTATCTGGAGAATTAACTGAGCGGAAGCGTACCTGACTCCATGGGAGATGGCCTTTAGAGATCCGGGAGACGGAGGCTAGGGTTTGTGTCTTCTAGTTGATACACACCCTCGGGATTATCTCTCTAGCGATGGGATGCAGAAAGACAGAATGGCGTGTACAACTAGGGACCATAACCCCTTATTTATAGAGAGTGCTTAACCCTAATCAGCCCATCATTGATTAGGTCAAGCCCATGGGTCTCTACACATTTGGGCCCTATACCTTATTAGATAACTTATTAGCCCACTTAAATTAATATCCATAGGACCACTAATTTTTTGGGCCTAAATATAAGATAGCATATAACATACAATTAAACCCGATAAATAATATATTGTGAATATTACATGCAATATAAGTCCAATAATCTAACAATCTCCCACTTGGACGACATACACATGTATACACAATCCTCAGAATTATATGTTTACTTTAGGAGCTCCAAAATTTTGCTATCAAACTGTAGTCATCTTTAATCAATCCGGTCCATTAATTATATCAACATAGGATCAAAGAAGTCTTTGCTATATTTGAATAACTAGACCCATCAATGATCACATATATTAATATAATAAACGACATGGATCAAGTATAGGTGTGTAGCGTGGAAATAACATAAAGTGTGGTCTGGAATAGAATGTCTATTTCCAACTGGTCCACCTTGAGATCAATAATATAACTGTAAGAGTACATAAAACTTTAAACTTAATTTCTGCAGAAAATAACCTTAAAAACTTGAATCAAGTCAATTATCCAAATATAGAAACATTACAAACTCCCACTAAAACTCATAATCCTCAACTGATTTGACACCCATTTGTGCAACATGCTCATGAAACACTTTGGGTGGCAATCCTTTAGTGAGCGGATCCGCAATCATGGAGTTTGTGCTAATGTGCTCTATAGATAACTTTCCTTCTTGTACTCGTTCCTTAACAGCCTTAAATTTGACTCCAATGTGTTTTGCCTTGGTCAAACTACTGTTGTTCTTAGCATAGAGGACTGCTGATCTATTGTCACACAATAGCTTAAGTGGTCTTTCAATGTTGTCCACTATGCGTAGTCCACTAACAAAATCTCGCAGCCATAGTGCCTGATTGGATGCCTCATAACATGCTATAAACTCTGCTTCCATGGTGGAAGTAGCTGTAAGAGTCTGCTTGATACTCCTCCAGGAGATAGCTCCTCCAGCTAGAATATAGATGTAGCCTGAAGTGGATCTCAAGCTATCTTGACATCCAGCAAAATCAGAGTCGGTATACCCAATGATCTCAAGCTGATCCGATCTCCGATATGTGAGCATATATTCCTTTGTTCTCTGTAAATATCGCATGACCCTTTTGGCTGCTTTCCAATGGTCCATTCCCGGATTGCTCAAATATCTGCCTAACATCCCAACAATGTATGCCAAATCAGGCCTTGTACAAACCTGGGCATACATCAAACTTCCTACGGCCGAAGCATAAGGAATGTTCCTCATTTCTTTAGATTCAAAACCATTCTTAGGGCACTGCATGAGACTAAACTTGTCTCCCTTAGAAACTGGGGTATCTCCTGGTTTGCAGTCTTGCATACCAAACCTTTTGAGAACCTTATCGATATAGCTCTTTTGTGAGAGTCCAAGAACGCCTTTGGAGCGATCTCGGTGAATTTGAATTCCTAATACAAAAGAAGCCTCACCAAGATCTTTCATTTCAAAATTCTTTGAAAGAAATCTCTTAGTTTCGTGTAATAAGCCTATATCGTTAGTAGCAAGCAGTATGTCATCAACATACAAGACCAGGAAAATATGCTTACTCCCACTGAACTTGTGGTATATACAATCATCACTGACATTTGGTTGAAAACCAAAAGATATAATGACTTTATGAAACTTGTGATACCACTGACGAGAAGCCTGTTTGAGCCCATATATGGATTTCTTTAATTTGCAAACCATTTTCTTTGAATCCCCCGAAACAAAGTTTTCTGGTTGCTCCATATAGATTGATTCCTCAATGTCACCATTGAGAAACGCAGTTTTTACATCCATCTGATGAAGCTCAAGATCAAAATGTGCCACTAATGCCATTATTGTTCTAAAAGAGTCTTTCGAGGATACCGGAGAGAAAGTCTCTTTATAGTCAATTCCTTTCTTTTGAGTGTAGCCTTTAGCAACAAGACGAGCTTTAAACCTTGTAACATTGCCCTTTGAATCCCTCTTGATTTTAAATATCCATTTACAACCAATGGGTTTAATACCTTCAGGCAATGAGACTATCTCCCAAACGTCATTGTCACTCATAGACTTCATCTCATCTTTCATGGCATTAATCCATTCTTGAGAGTTAGAACTTTCCATGGCTTGACGGAAGTTGATCGGATCATCTTCCGCAAAACCAACATTTGATTCTTGTTCTTGGAGGAAGACAATTATTTCTTCCACCAATTCCCAATTTTCCTCATGTTCTAGGAGAAATACAATATAATCATCCGGAATTGCGCTTCTCCTCTCTCGAGTGGATCTCCTTAATGGCACCTCAGGTTCTTGAGGTTGTTGAGTTTGATCCTCATTAACAAATTCAGGTACTTGATTGGGGATGTTTTCGAGATTGTCATGAACTGGAGTTGTTTCTTGAACATCATTAGGAATAAACATATCTTGATCATGTTCAATGACAACTGAAGGAAGAGTAACATGTTCTTCCTCAAAGACAAAATCTCTAACCTTATCTCCCCACCCCCCAAACTCAATATCCTCAAAGAACCGGGCATTACCCGTCTCAAAAATAGTCCTGGTAGTGGGATCATAAAATTTATACCCCCTTGACCTCTCAGAGTATCCTACAAAATAGCTACTAACTGTTCTTGAGTCCAGTTTCTTTTCATTTGGCCTATAAGGCCTTGCCTCAGCTGGACAACCCCAAACATGGAAATGATTTATACTGGGTTTCTTTCCAGTCCAAATTTCATAAGGGGTTTTAGTTGTAGCTTTAGTGGGAACTCTGTTAAGTATGTAAGCTGCAGTTTTCAGTGCCTCTCCCCAGAGTGAATCGGGTAAAGTAGTATGACAAATCATACTCCTAACCATGTCCTTCAATGTACGGTTTCGTCTCTCAGCAACACCATTCATGCTAGGAGTTCCTGGCATGGTGTACTGAGGAACAATTCCACACTCCTCTAGGTATTTAGCAAATGGCCCTGGACGTTGTTCACCGGAACCATCATATCTACCATAGTATTCACCACCACGGTCAGATCTAACGATTTTTATTCTTTTGCCTAATTGATTTTCAACTTCGGCCTTATAAGATTTGAACACGTCTATTGATTGGGACTTTTCATGAATGAGATAAAGGTAACCATAACGAGAGTAATCATCTATGAATGTGATAAAATATGTTTGGCCATTTCTACATGGTGTAGGGAATGGTCCACAAATGTCTGTATATATCAATTCTAATAGATCTGAAGCTCTCTCGGCACCTAACCTCCGTTTGTTCGTTTGTTTTCCCTTAACGCACTCAACACAAATATCAGAATTTGAGGAGTCAAGAGAATCAAGAATTCCATCTGACACAAGTCTCTGAATTCTTTCTTTAGAAATATGTCCTAGACGCTTGTGCCAAAGTGAAAATGAATTCTCATTGGTTAATTTTCTTTTAGTACCACGAGTACTTACATGCAAGGTTTCATTATATGAGGTATTTATATCAAGTGAATATAGATTATCATAAACTGATAAAAGACCAGTACCAATAAGTTTTGAATCTTGAAATAGACTGAACTGACTATTTCCAAATGAACAAGAATAACCAAATTTATCCAATGCAGAAATAGAAATTAAATTCCGCCTAAATGACGGCACAACAAATGTCTCTTTCAAATCCAAATAAAAACCAGTCTTTAATAATAATCTAAAAACACCGATAGCCTCAACTTCAACCCGCTTGCCATCACCGACATAGATGTATCTTTCACCATCAATTGGTTTTCGGCAGCTCAGGCAACCCTGCATAGATACACTTATGTGAGTAGTAGCACCAGAATCTACCCACCAAGTGTCTTTTGGTACCGAAATTAAATTAACCTCAGAACAAACAAGAGCAAGAGACATACCCTTTTTCGCACGCCAAGCATGGTACTTAGTGCAGTTCTTTTTCTTGTGATTAGTCCCTTTGCAAAAGAAGCATCCAGATTCCTTAGTTTCTTCCTTAGTTTCCTTGTGATGCTTCCTGGGAGGCCCCGAATTTGCAGCTTCCTTAATTTTTCGTTTATTGCTGCCCTTAGAGGTAGATGCCAAATGAGCACTTTCTGTCTTATCTTGCTTTATTCTCTCTTCCTCTTGAACACAATGAGAAATGAGCTCATTGAGAGACCATTTCTCCTTAATGCAGTTGTAACTGACTTTAAATTGATTAAATTGAGAAGGAAGAGAGATCAAAACTAAATACACAAGCAATTCCTCAGGTAAAATAAGCTTTAGTGCACTTAGTTTTGAAGCAATATGAGACATTTCCAAAATGTACTCCCTTATGTTCTCTTTGCCTTTATACTTCATGGAAACAAGAGTGCTCAAAAGAGTACTAGTTTCCGCCTTTTCGTTTTTAGCAAAACGCTTTTCAAGTTCGGCAAGGAATGATTTTGCATCGGCCTCATCAGACATTGTGCCCCTGAATGATTCTGGAATTGCACGTTTCATGATCATTAGACTCATGCGGTTTGAGCGTTCCCACCTCTCCATCTCCCTCTTTTCATCGAGGGTAGATGTGTCCTTAAGAGCGGCGGGTTTCTCAGTCCGAAGTGCAAGGTCTAGATCCATGCAACCGAGAACGATCATAACATTCTCTTTCCATTCCTTAAAATTCGTGCCGTTAAGCACTGGGATGCTATTAATATTAGCAGATATTGTAGCAGCAGAATTGTTGACTGAAAGAGAACAAAAATAATATAAATGATATGCTCTAGGAATTGAAATTAATTTTATAATTAATTTTAAATTTAAATATTAGCAATCCCCATCACAAGATACCTAGCGCAACATCTAATCTTGTCTTTGGACATAAATTAGACTTGCAAGTGGTACTCTTGGTGTGATAATAAAATTTTGATAATAAAATCTTGTCAAATATTAAGCCTTTCTTTGGTCCGACTTAATATTCACACGAAAAAACTTCATAATCATCACAAATTTTATTATCACAAATGTACTTAAATTTCGGCCAAATAATAACCTTCCTTTGGGCCGATTACTATCCGCATGAAATAAGAAAGTACACAATCATCTTAATATATGAGTTAATTAATTTCAACAAGAAAGGCTACTTTGGCAGCATGTTGCGTCAATTAATCATCCCAAATATTAGACATGCTAATATTAAATCAACAATCTGAAAATAAAATTGGGCGAATTTTTCTGAATCACATGCAAATGTGTTATGTGTAACGAAATTTGTAAAACCTGTACCCAATCTTTATGTGATCACAAATTAGGGTTTATACATCCATAACACATAATACATTTTTAAACTGTAAATCATGATCACCAATAAAAGTAATTTATTTCTAAATATGCAATTCTAATGGAACTGATTTTGCCCGTAATCACATATAAGTATTTAATTACCAAATCGGTAATAATCATATATATGTACTTAATTACCAAAGCCATAGAAAGAAAAAAAAAGATTAACTATTGAGCACTCAAGATCTATACACCATAAAGAGAATTTTATAATTCCCACTGTAGTTTTCTAATCAATTGAGTGTCGATTGAATCTCAAAAGAAAAATAAAATCAAGATTAGATGAAGTTGTGTGAAACCAGAAAGCCAATCCCCTAGGGGAACACTAGGATTCTGCTTCTGTCCGGTCGTACTAGGTCTTTAAGGTCTCACTCCGATTTGTTCACATCTTGAATATGACCCTTTGCCATAAACCAATTGCCAGAGATTGGCTAGCGGACACAGGAGCGGGATTCTCCAAAAAAAAAAACCAAGGTCGTGGGTGGCCAAGAGGGCCCACTTGGAGACTATCAAAATACAGATTCATATGAATTCCGATTCCAATGTAAATCGGCTAATCCCATATGGGATTGAATTGAAGTGCCAAAAAAATAAATAAAATCCGAACTGCCACATTCAAAACAAAACAGATATGGCGGATTTTAAAAAAAAAACATTCCGATGCTCCAATCGTAGATGATGAATACGATTGAGTAAAAAACAAAACAAATTTCACAAATTCAATCGTGTAGGATTGAAACAAAAATATGAATACTCCAAATAACTCAATATGAAGGAGGCTCTGATACCAATTGTTGGAATAAATCCATGAATACTTTAATCTTCATATTGAAATTATCTGGAGAATTAACTGAGCGGAAGCGTACCTGACTCCATGGGAGATGGCCTTTAGAGATCCGGGAGACGGAGGCTAGGGTTTGTGTCTTCTAGTTGATACACACCCTCGGGATTATCTCTCTAGCGATGGGATGCAGAAAGACAGAATGGCGTGTACAACTAGGGACCATAACCCCTTATTTATAGAGAGTGCTTAACCCTAATCAGCCCATCATTGATTAGGTCAAGCCCATGGGTCTCTACACATTTGAGCCCTATACCTTATTAGATAACTTATTAGCCCACTTAAATTAATATCCATAGGACCACTAATTTTTTGGGCCTAAATATAAGATAGCATATAACATACAATTAAACCCGATAAATAATATATTGTGAATATTACATGCAATATAAGTCCAATAATCTAACACATAATTGTATTTCGGCTCCACAAATCATAAAAACACTAGAGCTGCCAAGACATGTAAATGTGAATTAATTCAAAATTAAATTTAATTAAAAGTGGTGCTCCTAATCATTTGTGTCATAGATACGAGCAGAGACAGAGGTAGAGGGGGGCCGATCGGGTCCCGATCCATCCAAAATTTGAAAATTATTTGTATTTTAGTGTAAAAATTATTTATAAAAATTTATTTAAAAATTGACCCATCCCGCTCCTGGCTAAGTCCCCTCTTCATTGTTTTAATATTAGTGGATTTTCAACTGATAAGACATGACTAGGTTCGAGTGTATTTTCCTGAAATCTAGTAATTAAGATTAGATTGTTAATCCTAAATAAGCTTGTCCGGCCATGAGCATGATAAACAAATAATTAAATAAATTTAGTCGATGTTACACGAAAGGTATGTATGAAATGGGGCGAGTTGCTGAATCGTGTGAAAGACTTATAGTGGGTGTCACGTTTGGCTGGAACGTAAATGAGTGCCCACATATGTACGAACTGGAGAATAAAAAAAAGCATGCATCAAAGGCAAGTCAATTTTGGAAAGTTAAAAGTCAAACGTAGCTGGAAAGGTATCAATTGAATAACGAGTCTGGCCGGATTGGGTTTTTAAACGCGCCAGACATTAGCGACCTACAGGAAGGACGCACAACTATTTCATTTCTTTGGTAAACTGGTGCGGTCCAATGATGTTTCGAACATTCAAAGATTGTACTGCACGTTGTCTGGAATTTATGAAGGGTATATCTTCGATTCATATATTGACAAGTTCATTCAATATTGCAATTCAAAAGGATATTTGTATTTGTATGTCGACATTATCTTGAGCAAATACAATTATATGTATATGTTTACATTGAGTTGTCATGGTAAGATAATGTACTAGTATAAGTTTGCTTCCACCCAAAAGGGTCTATTACTCCCTTCGTCTCGTAAACAACTTTCCACATCCTTTTTGGGCAGTCCGAAATTAACTTCACACTTCTTCCCACTTCCTTATTTGACAAATTCTTTACATCAAAATGGTGCCAAGCATGTCAAACAGTGTCCAAAAGATGTCAAAACAATGTCAAAACAGTAAAATTTACTCCCCAGTAAGTTTATTTCCTTAAAATGTGTGAAAATGAAGTTTGAAGTTGTTCACGGGACGGAGGGAGCATTATATAATTCAACTTGCAAAATAGAAAATTCAAAATTATCTAAATACTTACCAAATGACCGAGTGCTTTACAATATTAGAATTCAGAGTGTTGGTATACAAAAAGAGAAAAAGGTTACCAAGGCAAGCTTGCCATCTTTTTGAATTACAAAAGAAAGGCAAAAAAGATACTCCGTATGAAGAAATAAAAACCCTCATACATATATACGTACTATTGTACATCCATGTTTGGGTGCAAGAAAATTAATTTGTTGGTTAAACTAGCATAATTAAATCGCAAATTAATTTAGTAATTAAAAACAAGTCAAATTTCTTCTCACCTGTAGTCGGTCGTTATTCTTCTCCACTGCACTTTTTTTTCCGTTGCCATTCCCACGCACCGCTTCCTTTAATTTCCAATTGTCGCATTAGAACAGTGTATTTTTTATTACAATTTACAGAGAATTTGAAATCATGATTCCTATACTGAAATCACGAATAAGAAACTTCCACTACCTTTCCCTGCTTCCCCTTCGTTTTCTAGCCATTCTTCCCGATTTTCTATCTTCTTTTTCTTTTCTATTCTCCTTCAATTATTTAATCTCCTTTATTAAAATATTAAAAACATGATCACAATTATTCTTTTCTACAATATATTTTTTTATTTCTTTTATATGTTTTTAGTGTGTTAAATACATTGAGTTTAATTTGGCTCTCAAAAAAAGACATTGAGTATGTTTATTTACATTAACATTTCATAAAATTGGTGATTACATTTTCATGTGTCATATATGCATGAATTAAATTTATACATAATTCCTTGAGTTATATTTGATAATACATGGAGTTACATCTATTTACGCGTGAGTTACATCTATTTTATGCGCGAGTTACATCTAATTATGCGTAAGTTACATCTAGTTATTTGTTATTTTTACTTATCTTTATCTTTAACTAATTAAATTACAACTGAATTAACTTCTTTCTTTACTAATATATATTGTATTTCATAATCATACACAATTTTTTACTTTTTTCTTCATCTTAAATTACTACCAAATTTATTTTTTGTGTATTTTTATTACATTTATACACTTTTTTTTTGTAAAATATTTTTCATATTCATACACTTTTTCTATAATATTTTTTTTCTCTTTTATATGTTTTAGTGATTTGAAGATATTAAGTTTGTTCATTACGGTTTGAATTTGATAAAACATGACATTTCATTTTTCATATGTGTCAGTTATGTTTGTAGATATTATATGGAGTTACATTTGATTGTGTATGGAGTTACATTTTCTTATGTGCGAGTTACGTTTACTTGTGCATGAGTTACATTTGATCTTGGGTCAACAAGTTATTTTTTGCATACACCTAACTTTGATTTTCCATCAACATGAGTTACAATTTCGATAACATAAGTTATATCACAACATAAAGCCCTACTATTGAAACAAAAGAATCATTTTTTTTTGCAAAAAAAAAAAAAGAATTGGCAAAAAAGTGATTGTTTTGGCAAAAAAAGTGAATCAAAAAACACATTTTTATGATCTTAATATTCAAAACATAACATATTCACTATTTAAGTATACCCGTGTTCTAAAAAAAACCTTTTTGCAAAAAATTAAAGAGTTTATTGGCAAAAAAAAGTTTTTTCGGCAAAAAATTGATTAAAAGCATTTTTATGGCCTTAATATTAAAAACAAAACATATTTAATATTTATATAAATTGATTGAAAAATTAGACTCCTTGTTTTCATTTAAATCAATGTTTTATTTTTTATAATCCATATTAGACAAGTTACATTTCAACTTGCCTGCACTTACATTTCGTATGAGCGTGAGTTACAATTCTTTATACGCGAGTTACATCGTTGTGCTACTGAGACAATGAAATAATCAAAAAATAAAGTTATTGTTCACTCGTGAACAGTAACAAACGAATTTTGCCTGCGAGAACAGCATGCTCACCGCAGCATGCTCACCGTGGAGTATTACGTACCTCTAGTGACTCGTCTAATTGGATTTGTCAATTTCTCTTTTATCACACAAACTTTTTCACCTTCCTTTTAATTTATACTCCCTCCGTCTCGAAATTAATTTCTCACTTTCTTTTTCGGACTGTCCCAAAATTAACTTTGCACTTTTTTCCACTTCTTTATTTGGTAAATTATCTAATCAAAACAATGCAAAACAGTGCAAACAATATCAAACATTGTCGAAACAATGTCAAAACAGTAAAATTTACCCCCAATAAATTAATTTCCTTAATACGTGTGAAATCGAATTGGGAAGTTATTTCCGGGACGGAGGCAGGAGTAAATAATTTGTAATTCTACTCATTCTTGTGTCTTCTACATAACTTTCGATCACATAATTTTTTTTCTTCCATATTTCACCTAATCACATTTAATACAAACTTGACAAAAACCAATGAGAGGGAGGTAATACTTCTTGCTTTTATTATTGACTTCTCGCAAGTGGGGCGTGTATGTCACACGCTCATGCCGAGAGTGTGAAGTTCGTCCCAGAAGGGACCCAAGTTGTCGTCTCCGCTGTCGTTGTAGACGTACTCGCAGTTGTGTTCGTAGAAGTCATTATTCCTGCCGTCAAAAGAGCCGGAAAAGTACTGTTCCGGCGGCGAGGGAAGTGGCGGCGGAGATGATGATGATGATCGGACAGAGTGGTCGTTGTGGTAGTTAAGGCGGGCGAGGAGGTTTGACTGTTGGTATTGCATGTTGACCACCTCGGCTTGAGCTTTGGCTAGCTGTTCTTGGAGGATGCTGACTTGCTTTTGGAGTTGGAAGATTGCTCCGGCGCAGCCGTACACCGGATCTCTCAGCCGCGCGTTCGCCTCGTACACCATGCTGCTCACGGCGTCGCTTCTCTCACTCTCCGGCAATTCCTAAATATTAAGAAGATCAAGACAGATGGAAGAACACATAATTTAGCCATTGATAATTTTTTTAAATTTAAGATGTAGTTGGAGATGCATTAATGATAGAAACAACAAATGTAGTGTCACATAATTCTGGAATCGGTTGAATTGAGCTGAAATTGATGAAATTATAGTTAAAACGGATGAATATGTTAAATAGTGAGAAAAAAATATTAAGATATGTTTTTTCAATAAGATTAAGAATAACATACACAGTATATGATAAAATAGATAGAATAATCATCTATAATAAAATTATTATTACTATAATCAATTTAGCGTCCGAAATTAAAATAGGATATTTATATACTCCGTGCTTAGTAGTATCCGACCCCGGTTTTCTTAATTCGTAAATACTTGGAAAGGATATAAAGCCAGCTAGAAATACAAGATAAATATGTAAAGGGTATTTTTATATTTTCATAACGTAATATTTGTTAAATTATGAAAGTAGGATAAATAATAAAAGGTGATCAAAGCCGTACGTTGTGGTGTATTAATTGGTACCTGATGAATAGCATCCACTGGTGTCATCAATTTATCATTTTCTTATATTTGAATTATCTATTTATAATAATGTTTTGATTAATGGATAGTAGAATTTGCACAATAATTTATGTAACAAATTAAAACAAATTAAATTTCACAAGTGGATAACATATTTATATTCTGTAGTATCCATGTGGATAATGAGAACACCTAATGAATGAAGTATGAACAAGATGCATATGGTTGCTAAAATAATTAAAGATAATAAAATACATTGGTTGAAATTATGTGACAAATTAAATAATTAAGCACGAATCTCAATTATGACTTTTCAAAGGTACGAGGATGAGTTTATTAATGTGTGGAATTGAAGTTATGACTAAATACTCCATTTTCATGAACGATGACAGATTATTCAGATTCTCAAATCTGTACCCTACTACTCTACTACTCCGTAGTTAACTAGAAAGAGCATTTCATTAATTATTATTTGTACTCGATAACAAAATACGAACTATATCTTGAATAAAACTACAGAGGAGTATTCATGTGCGTCCGGTCGCACCACAGGGCCGTCCGGCTGGCGGCTTTTGACCGCCTTCCCGGTGGATTTTTTTGATGAAATTTTTATGACATGTTCCTCATAAAGTCTAGTTTATTCAAAAAAAAATCAGCTACAAACTCAATCCGGAAGATCGTCAAATGATTTTTTGAAGTTGACTGCGTTTTTTGTGTGTAATTTTGCACAGTTAACTTCAAAAAATCATTTGAAGACCTTCCGGATTGATTTTTAGCTGAATGTTTTTGTGGATAAACTAGACTTGATGAAGAACATGCCATAAAAATTTAATCAAAATATTCCACGGGAAAGGTGGCCAAACGCCGTCGGCCGGACGGCGCATCTCCTGTGGACGGACGCACCAGAACAGCCCTCTAAAACTACATTAACTAAGTTTCATAAGTATATTTTATTTACTTTATTAATCTATATTTACCTATTTCAAATTGAATGTATAATATACCTTAGGAAATTCGGCGAATTCAAATATAATACTTATTATTATTATTATTATTATTATTATTTTCATCAAACTAAACAAATTTTAGTAACAAAACACCACGCATGTTAAAATTGATTTACCAAATCACAACAAATCAACAATGTATGAGGCATGTTATTATGTTAAGTGACGATTAACTATAAAGAAGATTAAAAGATAATAGCTCACGTATGAAACCTTAAGGTTTAATCACAAGTTATAGTATTATTATGGAAAGTTCCCGAAATAATAGTAAAAATGTTGTTGAATAATAATGTCACAAAGCTGAGGTGATTAGTCTTAAATTATTTACGAAATAAATTATAATTATCCTGTTTTAGAATTAATTCACAGACTTTTTAGTCCACTCAATTTCATGAAGTATTACTAGCTACGTGTTACACATTTGATAATTAGGTAACCATTATCTGCTCTCACCTAATCCTTCGGCCACTACTATTAATCCAGTTGTCATTTTAAGAACATGAAATTGGGTTTAGAATAGTGTTAGAAACGCCGCAATATAGGGATTTTTATTTATCAGAATGTGTGTACATAATTCTTTCTGAGACGTTTCTAAATAAATTCTTATTTATATACAAACCATTTAGTTAAGAGAATTTTATTCTCAAACAACATGCATTGATAAACAATACTATATGTACTTACCAACTCCGTCCCAAAATGATTAGTCGAATCTCAAAATTTAGACAATGATTTTGATTAGTATAATATTATGAAAGTTATAAATTTTATACTTTTATAAAAGTATTTTTAACAAAGAATATTTTCATATAATTTTTATATTTTAAATAATTTCTAATAAATACTATGCATATATTATTGGTCAAAGTTTTGGATTTTGGGATGGAGGTAGTATCAAAATACCATATTATTGGTCAAAGTATTTCTTCCATCTCATAATCAACTTATGTTTTGAATTGGCATAAATTAAGTAAGAAAGTGAGAATTGAATGATCTAAAATTGTACATAATGAAATTTTGTGCAAAAAATGTTGTACATGTTGCTGTGAATCACGACTTCTTTGCTAAAAAGAGAAAAATTAACATATTAAGAGGAGCTAAAAGCTAAAGAATGAAATTGATTTTTAGAGAAAGTAAATAAGAAATGGATAGGGATTTGAAACTATTAGAAGCTAACCTGCAAGAATTTGATGATATTGCTAGCGCCGAAGACACGATGAGCGGTGGTAAACTTGATTGGGTCATTGGGAGGAAAATAAGGCGCCAGCACACATTTCCCGGCGCATCGCCGCCGCAAAACCTTACATGCGGCGCATGGGCTCACCACCACCGCCGGCAGCGGCGTGGTGGGGGACGACGGTGAAGATGGCGGCGAAACGGAGCGAGAAGATGTGAGCTGAGAAATGGTTGCCGGTGAGGTATCACTTGACCCCATTATTATTTCGTCCGTATTTTGTTGACAAAATTTGAGAGCATGCAAATTAAAAGAGATGGTTGATGTGTAACAAAGTTTTGATCATTGAATGAGTTTATATAGAGGATGAAAGGGGCGGGGCCGCGGGGAAGATGAATGAGCGAGCCTAGCTGGCAACTTTCGTCATAATTAATGTCATCACCTGTGAGTCTGTGTGACTTCAGATTTTGGTCATATTTCGCCGACCAATTTATCTCAAAATGATTTTGAATTTACCATGGTGTTTTTTTTTGGGAAAAAGGATGCTTAAATCGATATCACAGGAAGATAAAATGGTCACTTTAAACCGCCGACTCTCGAATCAGACTTAGAGACAATCATCCTGTAAAAAGCAATATGATTCGCTGATTTTATAATGGGTCTAAATGAGCCTGACGCCGTTAAAATGGACCCCTCATCGCCCAAACCTAATTGATATGCACTAGTTTATAGTGCATAAATGTATGTTTTTGTATTATTTCTGTGTAGATTTTCTTTCCTCTTTAGTTAGTTTGTAAACATTTGTTTTATGTTATTTGTAATTGTTTTTTGCTTTCATTTATAGTTGTAGAATAGTAGTAGTGTTTTTAGCAAGGAAAAGGAGAAAAACTGAAGATAAAAATGGCTAGGAGCACTAACCCGGTCGGGTCATGCACTACACCCGGTCGGGTCTGAGTTGAGAACCAGATCCTTGAGAAAATAGCTAGACCCGGTCGGGTCCCCTACTTGACCCGGTCGAGTCTGACTTGACCTGGGACATTTTAACGTGCTGAAACACAAAAACGTGGGAGATAATCTGATTTTGAGCGGTACCCGGTTGGGTAAGCACTAAACCCGGTCGGGTACCCGGCCAAAGGGGTTGAAAAACACCTATAAATAGCACACTTTTTCTTCACAAAAAATCATCACTTCTTCTATACTCTTAAACTCAGTTTAGAATAACATTTCTTTATATTTTTCTAGCTATGTTTAGTCTCCAAATGAGGAGCTAAACTTCCATTTCTTGGTTTTGCTCTTGAAACTTGTTGATTATTAAAGTTGTGAGTTATTTTCTTAACTTCTTCTCTTGATTATTAATTCTTCCCTTAATCTCATTCTATATTAATGTTGGAGGGTTGCTAAGTGACGATTAGTTAACGTCCCGACATTAATTACTACTAGAAACGATCAACGAACCGATGGTTAATCGTTGGTGGTTTCATAAGTAAGTAACTTCGGTTTATTAATGCACGGTCGTGGTTAATAAACTTAAAAGGGATCAATTTTGTTGGTTAAACCGAAACCATTGTGTTAAGGTTATCAATCTCAATTGATTTCATCAAGGAGTTAAAAAGATTGAATGCTACTATTATAACGGTATACGGCGTTGTTCTATATTTGATTAATAGTAAGGGTTATTAATGAACGGTCGTTGTTAATAACTACCCTCGATGAATTGGAGATACTCCTTGATTGAGTATTCGAGAGGGGATAAGTTATAGATATAACAAGGATCGACTAAAATATATCAACAAGTGGAAAGTAGCAAAGCCAAGTCCCTTTTATTCTTGAATTAAACACATATAGGTTGTTCATCTTAGTTTCTTAATTGAATTAAATCACTCAAAACCAAAACCCCCCTTTTTAATTACTAGTTTCATAAAAAGAAAATCATTCCTTTCCCTGTGGATACGAACTCTACTACGCTATACTACGTATAAGTGTAGTATTGAAAATTATTTTGACGCACCGTGACAAAGTGCTCGTCAAATTTGGCGCCGTTGCCGGGGAAAGGCAATTAATTTTTCTTTTTATTTTATTTCAAGAAAAAAAATATTATATATAAAGTTTTCTATTTTGCTGAGCTTTGTTTGAGTATATGGTAAAAACCCGATCCATAAACCAACTCACCTACCAAACAAACCCCGAAATAGAAAAAGCTCTCGAACGGTTAAAAAGTAAATTCTCAAGTACTGACTCAGGAGAATTCTCAAGTGCTAGTTCTCAATCTAGCGAGTCCGATGAGCCAATATCAATGGCTCTTGAAACAAGAACGCTGAGGGAGCTCACAGCTCCCAATCTAAACCAACAACCCTTATGTATCACCTTCCCAACTCTTGATGCGGGTGCTACATTTGAGTTAAAATCCGGACTCATACATCTACTTCCATCCTTCCACGGGCTAAGAGGAGAGGATCCGAATAAACATCTTTCGGAGTTACACATCGTTTGCACAAGCATGTGCCCGAACGGTGTTACCAAGGAGCAAATTAAGTTGAGGGCTTTCTCATTCTCCCTCAAAGACACCGCCAAAGATTGGCTATTCTATCTTCCCTCGGGAAGCATAGACACTTGGGCGGCCATGAAGAAGAGCTTCCTCGAAAGGTATTATCCCGCCTCAATCTCCTCATCTCTAAGGAAACAAATCAGCAATGTGGAGCAAAAAGATGATGAATCGTTCTACGAATTCTGGGAACGATTCAAGAAACTCTGTGCGAGCTGCCCGTATCACGACTACTCGGAGCAAGACCTCATCCTTTACTTTTATGATGGTCTTTGCGATGATGATAGATGGATGATCAATGCTGCATGTGGAGAAGGAATAGTCAACAAAACTCCTTCTCAAGCTAGGAATCTTATCTCGGAGTTGGCTGAAAATTGTAGACACTATGATCGGCGGTCAACAAAGAGAGTCATGGCGGCGGAATCCAACAACTCGTTGGAGAGTCAAGTAGCCGGCTTGACTTCTTTGGTTAAAGATTTCCTTTTAAATCCAAAAACCCAAGAAGTCAAGGTTTGCGGCATCTGTTCAACACAAGGGCATCCCAAAGATTCTTGCCCAACTTTACAAGAGGAGAACTCCGAGCAAGTCAATGCTTTGGAGTTCCAAGGCCAAAGGAGGTACGATCCTCACGACAACACCTACAATCCAGGATGGAGGGATCATCCAAATCTAAGGTACGGAAACTCTCAACCCCCTCAACAATCAAACCCTCCTCCTCCTCAACAATATAAACAATAAGGCCAAACATCGAACTCGAACATGTCCACCGAAGACATGATTCGAGCATTAGCCATGAATATGACTACGATGCAACAAAGTGTGGCCCAATTTCAAGAAACAACAAAGTCTAGCATCCACAACTTGGAAAGCAAAATGAGCCAAATCTCAAATGCCGTGAGTAGGCTAGAAGCTAGGGATTCGGCAAAACTCCCATCTCAAACGGAGCCGAATCCAAGGCAACAAGCTCATGCGGTCACTTTGAGAAGTGGCAAAGAATTGGTTATGGCTAAGGCAAAAGCAAAGATCCATGTGGGAGAAGAGGAGGAGGAGATCTTGATGCCAAGCACAAACCCTCCAAATGAAGAGGAAAAAGAGGAGGGGATCACACCTCAAAGAAAGTTCCCACCGCTCGACTCATATGAGCCGGTGCCACCTTTTCCGGAGGCTCTCAAGAATAACCGAAAATACAACAATGACAAAGACATCTATGAGACCTTCAGCAAATGTGAGGTAAATATCCCTCTTCTCAATTAAATAAAAGGTGTTCCTAGGTTTGCAAAGTTTTTAAAAGAACTTTGCACAATTAAACGGAAACACAATATGAATGGCAAGCATAAAATCCAAGTAAGTGAAAGAGTGTCGGCCGTTTTTCAAAAGAAATTGCCTAAAAAGTATAGTGATCCGGGAATGTACACTATACGGAAATTCTAGTTCTTCTAGGGCTATGTTAGATTTGGGTGCATCAATCAATGTCATCCCATATTCTCTATATAAGTCCCTAGAACTAGGACCTTTACATGAGACGGGGGTCGTTATCCAACTTGCCGATAGATCCAATGCCTATAAACTCTTTGGTCCGCATGGTTTGTATGAACTCCTCATGCTCTTGGATTGCTTTGAATGTCTGCTCAAGATTAGGAGGTAAAGAGATGGTAGGAGGTACCTGGGCAGAGGGCTCTGCTGCTTGGGAGGCCACTGCTAGTTCTTTTTCCCTTAACTTCTTTAGTGAGCCAACAATCTGATTTTCCAGCTCTTCATCCCTGGCTTTCAAAGCTTCAAGTTCATTGCGAAGTGCCTCCATCTGAGCTGGTTGGTTTGAGAGTTGAATGTTGAGCTGAGCTTTCTGTTCTGAGTTGAATACTTGCTGTATCATCAAATTGCTAATGAATTTTGTGGTTGCTCTTCCTTCGTTGAAGAAGACCTCTGCTAGTGTTGGAGTGTCTTCTTCATCCTCATGCTGAATTTGGTTCTTGATTTCATTGGACGTGGCAGGCTGTTCAGGAGCTGTTTCTTGGTGGGGTTCCAAGTTGAGATCTATCATAGCAGTCCCCTGCTGGATAGTAGCAACCAACAGTTTCTGGGGTGCCTTAGAGGATTCCCCACCTCCTTTAGTCTCCATCCTTGATTTCTCAAGAGTCTGTCTGAGTTGTTTATCACTAGAGGAGGAGGAGTGAATGGTTTGCTTACCTTTTGATCTTGGTGGTCCCTTTGGTGTGTTGCCAGCATTGTCATCATCATCATCATCATCATCCAGGTCATCATTATCTGAGTCTTCGATTGTATCCTTTGCTGTCAGGTTCTTTTTCTTTGATGCGTACACTTGGTTGATCGTGTGAAGTCTTGTAGCCTCATCCACAACGAAGTCTTCTTGCTATATGAAGTGTGAGAATGTATCTGCTTGAAGAAGGATCCTTGACAGCTTCCAGGAGCGCTATGCCTTGACCCTTGCAAATTCTGCATCCAATTTCTCTAAGGGAGTCATTTTAAGTGACTCCACTGCTGGTGAAGGAGGACTCTGCTCTGGCTCTGGGGGAGCCACCTGCTCTCTTACATGAGTGGTTTGTAGGTGAGCCACCTGCTCTAGTAAGAGAGCCACCTGCTCTTCTTGTTGAGTTATGCTTGGAATGTGTATGGAAAGTGGGAGTGCAGAGTTGTTGCTTCCATTTGAGGAACCGGCAGAGGCCTCTGCTTCCTCTTGAACTATGGCTAATGGTGAGGCGACTGCTTCCTCAGGATGAAATGATGAGGCTGCCTCTTCTAGTTCTGCCTGGAGATTTCTTGTTGCAG